AAAATGCTAGTGCTGCTTATAACAGGCTCTGTGTCTTCCTTGGCTAATATATGAAGTCATTCTTAGTGGTTTTACAGGAGCACGTTTTGCTTGACAATTTAGGGGTGCTGTTCTAACATTATCCATCCTCAAGCTGTCAAGTGCTCTGTAAGATTTTAGTCATATGTGAATCTTAGCTTGTTGTCAAATAGCTCAAAGGATTTTAGTTGATTAATAATTCTTACTTTGAAATGAGTAATCACTCAAAATATATTTGCGTTTTACTCAAATTACAATATTTGCTGTATTTTTCATGCTGAAAGAAATATAGTTTACCCTATACTAACAATAGCTATCACTCATTCTTAGATGGAAATGCCATCTTTAATATTTTTCTTCTATATTATCGTAACAAAAATAGTTGAGCTGGCTTTTTTGAGAAGTAAGCAGTTATAATTTCAGTCTTTATGCTGGCCCAGCACATTTATTTCCAACAGTGTGCACACATAGAGTACATCCATTTGGTGCCTATTTCTGCATCCTTTCAAGATTCTATTCCCATTTTACAGATATGCAGATAAGGGCATAAATTAGCAAGTTCATTTGAAAATCCAGGTCAGATCAAGCTTCAGGAGCAAGAGGCCCGGTATTTTGGTCTAACCACCATTTCAATAGAATCATAGAATCATAGAATCATAGAATCATAAGAGTGGGAAGAGGACCCACAAGGGCCAATCGAGGTCCAACCCCCTGCCAAGCAGGAAACAAGCCATCAGAGCAACTGCCTGACATAAAGACCTCCAAAGAAGGAGACTCCACCACCAACTCCTTGGCAGCAAATTCCACTGTCGAACCAGCCTCTTACTGTCAGGAAGTTCTTCCGAATGTTTAGGGTGGAAATCTTCTTTCTTGTAGTTTGGATCCATGCTCCGTGTCCGCTTCTCTGTGAGCAGCAGGAAACAGCCTTTCTCGCTCTCCTCTATGTGGACATCCTTTTTCACCCTGCTTTCCAGCAGAATTATGCTTTCCTTAAAATGACAGCATTTTCTCGAGCTTATGTAAGTCTTGAGCAAAAGCATAGAAACTTATTTTCTTCACATTAGTGCAGATTATTGTGGTTTGCTGTACCAATCTTACTCTATCTCAATATGCACTTTTCAATCTATATTTTCACCAAGTGGCAGTTTCAAAATCCAAATGTCTGTCATCATACATTGAAGAAAGTTTCAGCTTTAATAGATGCCGCTAAAAGGCAACCGCTAAGTATCACTAGGATTTGCAAAAAGTGTCCAGAGAAGTAGTCTGATGTCTGATCATAAAAATGTTTCTATTCAGCAAGAATACCTCTGTCTGATGGAACTGTCTCAAAGTTTTGCTAAGGTCTGATCCTGATTTGCCACATTCTTTCTAAATGAAAACTGACTCAAAATGTGATTTGTGTAGTAGCCCTAAGTAATATAGCCATACTTCTGGAATTACATATAATCACAAAAGTCCGTACTGTTTAAGCAATTAAGTCATAACAATTTTAGAATGACACAAAAGTTGGATCTCACGGAGTTCACCATTTATCTAGGTTTCATCTGGTATCCAGGCAAAGGCTATAATGGGACAGTATTTGTGGAAGTTTGAAATTATATATCATCTCTGTAGCCTCCCCTTCTTAGAAATATTTCCCCCCAGTTTTTCCCATTACTTGGGAGATAATATCAGGTTGAGAATGATGTCATATTAACAGCGTGAGAAAACAGTGCTCTGTTACCAAAAGAGGAGAAGACATATTAGAGTTCTTTTAAGCTCATCTTTTTTTAAAAAAACACACACCTTAATTTGAGTCCATACTCTTTCAGCCATGTGAATTCTGAATACATGTTATAGACTCACAAATGGCTATTACAAATGGGAGTGGCAAACCATTATACATTTTCATTGTTTCCATTACATATTTTTAAACTCTTTGCACCACAAGTCAGAACGGGAGAATCACAATTATTGTGTAGTACAGAGGAAGGCAAATTTCTGTGGTGAGAAAAAATTAGAGTGGGTAAAATACCTGAAGTAATTTACATACCTCAAGATGTCTACACTTATATGAATGCATATACCACACAAGAAGCTTACTGATCATAACAGAAGATACCATAGCAAGCAAATTATGATGACTGCATTAACCACAATGTCCTCTAGAGCCTAATTTATGCTAGCTGGAAGATGGTGATTGGTTATGGCGATGAGAACAATATTGTGATAGGAAATGGGCTGCAATCAGCCCACTTACCAGGAACCATCTTGCTCCTCCCTCTGGCAACCATCTTGCTCCTCCCTCTGCTTATTTATGCCTTGTTCCCTCTTTTCTCTGCCATCTCCAGTAGGGCAAGCTGTTCAGCCCCCATCCCTTCAAGGAATGCAGATAACAGTATTGTTTACATCTGGATCAGTGCAGGTGCACATTGAAACGAAGCATCCCTGCTCCAAAACAAATAAGAGCATTGCTAATATTCCCATTTAGTGGATAGAAAGTTGAGCGTAACCTTCCTTCCCACAGATCCACTGTAACATCTTAAGATGGAGCAGGGGAGGAAGGTAGAGAAGTGGTTCTGCAGGAGGAAGTCACTTCCACCCAAACAGCAATTCTGCAGTCTGCTGCTGCTTCATGTGATGTAAACAGCAGTAGTAAAATGCGGTAACTCAAAGTTGACAGGAAGCTAGCATGAGACTTTCTGGATTGGTGAGTTGGAGATACAGTGGTACCTCGGGTTAAGAACTTTGCTTCAGATTACATATGCTTCAGGTTACAGACTCTGCTAACCCAGAAATAGTACCTCGGGTTAAGAACTTTGCTTCAGGATGAGAACAGAAATCGTGCTCCAGCGGCGCAGCAGCAGCGGGAGGCCCCATTAGCTAAAGTGGTGCTTCAGGTTAAGAACAGTTTCAGGTTAAGAACGGACCTCTGGAATGAATTAAGTACTTAACCCGAGGTACCATTGTACTGTTATCAACACTAGCAGGGGTGAACATTGTGATGCAAGAAGCAATAATACAGATATATATTAAAAGTCCATTCTCAGGCTACTTGTTTGGGCAGAGAGTAGCTGAACAAAACAATAGTATTCTTCAATAGTTGTAGGGTAGAAAGGAGAGATACAGGAAAGTGAGTTAAATAAAAACCTTTATGCACCACTCTGCCACTCCCTTTTTGCAACTGTGTTTGTATGCATTTCCTTTACGTTTGGATTTTCAGCAGAGGGCACTATACCATAATGAATATCATGAAGCTATAATGGCCATCACTATAAGTGATGGGTGAGATACAAGCCTTCATAAGTTTTGTTTTTTAAAAAACAAACACCCCCCCCCCGAAATATGAGAAACAATGTACTTTGTCATTATGGAGTTTAAAATGAAAGTATTAAAAGTGATACTGCACATTCTGTAATTTAAGATGCATAGTTCAGACCATGAGACTTTGTAAAAGGTTCACCACTGTCTAACAGCCGCAAATCGGACTCATGCTTTCTTTGTCGGGTCTCAGATGCTGCAATAGAAGCAGGCGTTTTCAGTTGTGGTCCACAAGCCCCATGCCATTAATATGCACCCGGTGACTTTTTGCTGCAGCTATTTTATTGTTTTATGAAAAGCGTTAATAAGAAAAACTCATTGCAAAATACGCACCCATTGACTGTGAACAGATAAAATCAGAAACAACTGAGAACTCAACATCTGTGCAACAACTGATGTGATGGTTGGAGCAGCTTCAGCAGCTCCCGAGCCTGTGCTGATTTGAAAAAGAACAGGATGCCACTGGCACAGGATTCCAACTTCTGGCCAGGCTTATGTTCAACAATGAGACAGAATAAGTTGCATTTCCGGGCTAGGAGCTTGCACAACTGCTCTGCTCAACACCATTAGCCTTTACAAATATTGCGTAATACAGTGCCATGTGGAATCCCAGATAACCCTGGGGCTTGTCCAAGCTTGGCTGCTTAAAATCACCTGCAGGTGTGTTGGGCGCGGGGAGGGCTACATAAGCACAAGCAGATTGCATCACAACTCTTTATTTACCCATCACCCCATGGGGTCAATACTCCCATCGCTCCTTGTGTTCTGCTTTTCATTAGCCTCATGGGACAATGAAAAATACTTAATTTTTTCCCCACTTGATGTTGCTACCGCCGTTAATTCTAGAAAACAGTCACAGACATGTAGAAGTAAGTGTTATCCTTTTTCTTCCTTTTTTTTTTACCAGAATATTTGAACTGAAATGTGAATTAATTCAAAATGTACTCAGACTCATTTTCTCAACCCTTTGTATAACAGCTGCCAGTGTATGGAGTGAAAAATACCAAAGAATTAGAATTGGCTTTTTAGTGACTTTCATGATCCATGCAAGTGCAAGCCAATTAATTGTTCCAAAGACATATTTGGAATTTGCTTCATTGTACTGTTTTTCTTATTCTTTTATAATTGCTAGCAATAAAAAAAATTCTTCAGGCTTTTAAAATTGATTTTCTGTTATTTCCATTTTGAAGGTTCTCAGCTTATAAGTACTTATATGGCAAACAGCAGCAACATCAACAACCCCCAACCAATCTCCACATATAGCATAACATTTGGTTTATTTATATGTCAGAAACCACCTAAATACCATGGGGAGATGGAGTGGAGGGCTGCAGGGGAAGCAGAAATAGGAGAAAATAACCTCCTGTTCTCTTATAGTAGTGTTCACTCTGTTGGATCAAAAGCTGTTCTGCAAGCAGAAGGGCAGCACTGGATTTCTAATTCATCACAGTTCTTTATCTTGGTAGTAATAATTGGCATTTACACCACAGGAACCAACTAAAATGAATTCTAAATAAAAGTAGACTTCCCAAGCAAACATGGACATAATACATGAAAAGTAAATTCCAGACGCCTTTTAAATTTTTATAATGAGATTTAATAAGGTAGCTAGGCCTTTGGTCAACCATTATTCAACACAAAGCATTCTATGCCAATCATGTGTTTTCTGTTTTGAATTACAGCTCACCACAGCCACCTTGGATGGCAAACTGCAATTGTTCCTACCGGATTGTCAGCCTTGACTTCCTTGGCTCTGCTACTTTAAGAATAAGGCTACCCAACAGAAAGGAGATATTTGGTTACTGGGCAAGTTACAGCACTTTTCTGTTTTAAATATAGGCTTCCAGATTATGTCTGCCCTGGGATTTGCTCCAAGGTCTACTCTGCTGGAAAAACATTTTGTATAAGGGTAGCGAGTCCTTTCTGCCACTGTCCTTGCAGAGCATTATCACATTCAGGTTACCTTGGACTGCAACTTTGGAAGTGCTACAGAATAGGTAGATGTATAATATTATGTTGGGTTGTTTCCCATTATTAATAGCTCTAGCCATCCTAGTGCAATTTGTCTGGAAATATCAAGTAAGATTTAAGAAAGCTGGTGTCTAGCAGCATATATACACTTTTTGTTGTAGTTTGTTGGGATTTCAATAGTTATCTCCACAACCAGACATTTAAGAAATAAACCTTTGTACCATTCTTGGCTAAACCCTTATGCCCAATAATAAAGTGATATTCTAGTCATTTGTGTCCTTGCCTGTTGATTCAACGTGAGGGGAAATATGAGGTTCTGAGCATTACTGAGACATACAAGCAAAGGTTTACTATAGTTCAGACATCAGTGGATATGATACCAAACATCTTTCAAGACTAAATGTTATGCGGTCCTTTTCTCCTTGTCATGTATAAAGACTCTGGAAGACAAATCACACTGGATTTCTGGCTCCTCAAGAACCAGTACGGAAAATGTGGTTTGCACTATTTCGCAACAGGTTGCTAAATATGTCACTGTGGTATATTCAACTTTTACATGAATTCTTTAATCTAATTTTGAAGAGCATTTTGAGGATAATCTTTAAAAAGCTGTGCACACTGAGTTGGGTCTGACTAAGTCATACTCAGAGTAGATCCAATGAAATAAATGTCATTCTTAGAACTATTTTCCAAAAGAAAACCCAATTCTAATAAGAAAGTCAATACCAGTAAGAAGTCCAACCCATCCAAAAGTCATCTTGTTCAATCCATCTTTATTTCACTGGGGCAATACTAGGAATGTGCTTAACTATCCCACTGAAATAAACGTAACTTTGAAAAGTATTTCTTTTTGCTAGAATTGAATCCATGGTTTCTGCATTCTTTCAAATTACTTTGACCCCACTTCAAGCCCCACTTACCCAGAGCAGTTTACTATGGGTATATGTAATCCGACAGGATTGATTTTTATCTAGATGTTATAATTCCATTGGTGCAAACCATTTTAAAATTATGCTTAATTCTATATTATTCTATATTATTTGTCTTTTAGTTGTGGGGCAAATGGGTAGGTGTGTGCACAAATTCTTCAGAAGAATTCTTCATTGTCAGAAAATGAAAATAGTGGTTAAATGCTGAAAGTCATGCAGCTAGTTTGGGGAAGGTTCAAGAGCTCAAATGTGTAGCAAAACTGAAGATCCCAGTGACAACAGTGGGGTAACTAGATGACATGATTATACCCCGCCCATCTGACTGGGTTGCCCCAGCCGCTCTGGGTAGCTGGCATTTTGGCAGTACTAATCATAGAATCATAGAGTTGGAAGAGACCACAAGGGCCATCGAGTCCAACCCCCTGCCAAGCAGGAAACACCATCAGAGCACTCCTGACATATGGCTGTCAAGCCTCTGCTTAAAGACCTCCAAAGAAGGAGACTCCACCACACTCCTTGGCAGCAAATTCCACTGTCGAACAGCTCTTACTGTCAGGAAGTTCTTCCTAATGTTTAGGTGGAATCTTCTTTCTTGTAGTTTGGATCCATTGCTCCGTGTCCGCTTCTCTGGAGCAGCAGAAAACAACCTTTCTCCCTCCTCTATGTGACATCCCTTTATATATTTGAACATGGCTATCATATCACCCCTTAACCTCCTCTTCTCCAGGCTAAACATGCCCAGCTCCCTTAGCCGTTCCTCATAAGGCATCGTTTCCAGGCCTTTGATCATTTTGGTTGCCCTCCTCTGGACACGTTCCAGTTTGTCAGTGTCCTTCTTGAATTGTGGTGCCCAGAACTGGACACAGTACTCCAGGTGAGGTCTGACCAGAGCAGAATACAGTGGCACTATTACTTCCCTTGATCTAGATGCTATACTCCTATTGATGCAGCCTAGAATTGCATTGGCTTTTTTAGCTGCCGCGTCACACTGTTGGCTCATGTCAAGTTTGTGGTCAACCAAGACTCCTAGATCCTTTTCACATGTACTGCTCTCAAGCCAGGTGTCCCCCATTTTGTATTTGTGCCTCTCATTTTTTTTGCCCAAGTGCAATACTTTACATTTCTCCCTGTTAAAATTCATCTTGTTTGTTTTTGCCCAGTTCTCTAAACTGTCAAGGTCGTTTTGAAGTGTGATCCTGTCCTCTGGGGTGTTTGCCACCCCTCCCAGTTTGGTGTCATCTGCAAATTTGATCAGGATGCCCTTGAGTCCATCATCCAAGTCGTTGATAAAGATGTTGAATAAGACCGGGCCCAAGACAGAACCCTGTGGCACCCCACTAGTCACTCTTCTCCAGGATGAAGAGGAACCATTGATGAGCACCCTTTGGGTTCTGTCAGTCAGCCAGTTACAAATCCACTGAGTGGTAGCATAGTCAAGACCACATTTTACCAGCTTCTTTACAAGAATATCATGGGGCACCTTGTCAAATGCCTTGCTGAAATCAAGGTAGGCTACATCCACTGCGTTCCCTTCATCTACCAGGCTTGTAATTCTGTCAAAAAACGAGATCAGGTTAGTCTGACATGACTTATTTTTCAGAAATCCATGCTGACTATTGGTGATCACAGCATTCCTTTCTAGGTGCTCACAGACTGTTTGCTTAATGATCTGCTCCAGAATCTTCCCTGGTATTGATGTCAGACTGACTGGGCGGTAATTATTTGGGTCCTCTCTTTTCCCCTTTTTGAAAATAGGGACAACATTTGCCCTCCTCCAATCTGCCGGGACTTCGCCTGTTCTCCAGGAATTCTCAAAGATGACTGCCAGTGGTTCTGAGATCACATCTGCCAGTTCTTTTAATACTCTTGGATGCAGTTCATCTGGCCCTGGAGACTTGAATACATCTAAACTAGCCAAGTATTCTTGTACTATCTCCTTAGTTATTCTGGGCTGTGTTTCCTTTGCTGAATCATTTGCTCCAAATTCTTCAGGTTGGGCATTGTTTTCTTTATCGGAGAAGACTGAGGCAAAGAAGGCATTGAGGAGTTCAGCCCTTTCTGTGTCCCCTGTTTGCATTTCACCATCTTCTCCTCTGAGTGACCCCACTGTTTCTTTGTTCTTCCTTTTGCTACGGACATACCCATAAAAGCCTTTTTTGTTGCTTTTAACCTCTCTAGCAAGCCTGAGTTCATTCTGTGCTTTAGCTTTCCTGACTTTGTGTCTACACGTGCTGGCTATTTGTTTGAATTCCTCTTTGGTGGTTTCCCCCCTTTTCCATTTTTTGTACACATCCTTTTTTAATCTTAACTCAGTTAAAAGTTCTTTAGATAGCCACCCTGGCTTCTTTAGGCACCTTCCATGTTTCCGTCTCATTGGTATTGCCTGACGTTGTGCTTTTACTATCTCCCTCTTAACAAACTCCCAGCCATCATGAACTCCCTTTCCTTTTAGTATTACTGTCCATGGGATTTCACCCAGCACTTCCCTAAGTTTTATGAAGTCGGCTTTCTTAAAGTCAAGAAATTGAGTCCTAGTATGCTTGGCTGCTCCTTTCCGCTGTATAGTAAACTTCAGAAGAGCATGATCACTCGTGCCTAATGATCCTTCCACTTCTACCCCACTAACCAGGTCATCAACATTGGTTAGGACGAGATCTAAAATGGCTGTTCCTCTTGTTGCTTCTCCCACTTTCTGGACAATGAAGTTGTCTGCAAGGCCAGTGAGGAATCTGTTTGACCTTATGCTCTTGGCTGAGTTTGACATCCAACAAATATCCGGGTAATTGAAGTCCCCCATTACTACTATCTCCCTTCCTTTTGCATGCTTGGCCATCTGTTCCAGGAAGGCATCATCTATGTCCTCCGTTTGGCTTGGGGATCTATAGTAAACTCCCACAATGAGGTCTCTGTTATTCTTCTCTCCCTTAATTTTGACCCAAATGCTCTCACTTTGGCTTTGAGGTTCTAAATCTTGGATCTCTTCACAGGTATACACATCCCTGACATATAACGCCACTCCTCCCCCTTTCTTGTCTGGTCTGTTTCTCTTAAATAGATTGTATCCCTCCATTATTACATTCCAATCATGGGACTTATCCCACCAGGTTTCAGTGATGCCTATTATGTCATATTTAGTTTGCTGTACCAAGAGCTCAAGCTCATCTTGTTTATTTCCCATGCTTTGCGCATTAGTGTACAGACATTGAAGTCCATTAATCATTCCCCCGTGTCTCTTATTTAAGGATTTTTTCCTCCCACCACTAGGTCTGCATGCTGTTTGCTCCATTTGGTCTATGACATTTGGATGATCATCTTCATCAATTGATAGACTCCTACCTTCAGGAGCATTGTCTCCCTCCCCCACATTAGTCAGTTTAAAGCCCTCCTGATGAGGTTTCTGAGATTTTTGGCAAAAACATTCCTCCCAACCGTTGTGAGGTGCAGCCCATCGCTTGCCAGAAGTCCATCTTCAAGAAACTGCAGTCCGTGATCTAAGAATCCAAACCGTTCCTGTTTACACCATTTGCGAAGCCAGCTGTTCACTTCCACTATTTTTCCCTCTCTCCCTGGGCCACGTCGTTCAACTGGGAGGACAGATGAGATGACAATTTGTGCATTTAGTTGCTTCAATTTCCTGCCGAGAGCCTCGTAGTCTCTTTTGATCTTCTGGAGGCTATTGCTTGCAGTGTCATTGGTTCCCACATGAACCAAGAGGAAGGGGTATTTGTCAGTGGGTTTTATGATTCCTTGCAGTCGTTCAGTTACATCTTGGATCTTAGCCCCGGGGAGACAGCACACTTCCCGAGACATCTTGTCAGGCCCACAGATCACTGCTTCTGTTCCCCTCAGTAGGGAATCCCCTATCACCACTACACGCCTCCTCTTAGGTTTGGTCGGGGTTCTTCCGTGAGCTGTCCGTTCCAAGGTCGCCTGCACATTCCCTGAGGACTGACTTTGCTGGTCGTCTTCATATACCTGATCGACTGTAATGAGGGAGAGATCCTCAAATGGAGTGTGCTCTTCGTCTTCCATGCTAGGGGAGAGGACCTCAAATACGATTGCGTATTTCTAAACAATCAGAGCGAACCCTGGGCCTCCTACTTCTTTGAGTCACGTTTCTCCATATATCTGGCTCCTGTGTTGGGATATAAATGTATGAACATATAAAATATAATAAGAAGGAGAATTTAGTTTGAGTGCCACTACACTATACAGTGGTACCTCGGGTTAAGTACTTAATTCGTTCTGGAGGTCTGTTCTTAACCTGAAACTGTTCTTAACCTGAAGCACCACTTTAGCTAATGGGGTCTCCCGCTGCTGCTGCGCCGCCTAAGCCCGATT